AATATTATGTAGATGCATCTCCAAATTAAATGCGAGAGAGAGAGAGAGAGAGAGAGAGAGAGAGAGAGAGAGAGAGGATGCAGAGATTTATAGTACTTTAGTGTTTATCCCCTCTTTGCCTATAGCACTCTTTAATGGTTTCCCTTTGGAACCTACCTACTTTGGTCCTTTTTATTTTAGAAATATTGCAAGACTTCATACAATCACTTATCCATAATAATGCCGAGAAATATAAATCTCCTATTTGAATTTTGACTTGTATACAACGTAATGCCAAACTCTTATGTGTAATCTTTACTCGATTCACGCTTCTTGAATCTTTCAGTATCACCAATTTGCTTCAAGCTTTCGTATGTAGCATTCACTCCTTAATCCTACTAGCTCCTTGAGCGATATGTTATCTAAAGATTTGATAAGAACCCCACCTTATATATAGCCTTCCACACAGTCACTACTAAGGTATTATGGAGAGAAGAACCTCCTTCTTTTCCCTGGAATTTGTCTGCACCAATGACAACAACCACAATCTTGCAAGTTACCTAAAAATATCAACCAAATCTTCAAGAACAATTAGTTTCAAGATGGTGTCTCCCCTAATCAATCACAAATCTCTCATTATCAAATTCTAAAATTAAAACTAGAGGTTGAAGAAGAAAGAATTTAGTTTTAAGAGTTATTTAGTTCACAAAGAAAAATAGAGGGTTGTTGAATTTTCACAAAAACACTCTCTAAAATGAGTTAGTTCAAGTGTGTCATTTTTAAGACATGAGATGATAAAAGTATTTAAGTGTGATTGAGATTAAGCACAAAAATGGATGGAAAAAAAAGTTAGATTCAAATCAAGAATATTTCATGATCTGAGTCAAATGAGCAAGTGAAGTGGAATAAGAAAGAAAAAGAATTTGACCCATTTCGCATCTGATTGGAATCAAGTGTAAAGCCCGATTCGAATCAGATAGCATGTGATTCGAATCAAGTATAACTTTTGAATCGAATTAATTCAAGCAGAGCCAAAAGAGAAATATGGAAAAACCATATGATTTGAATCAAGTGTAAAGTCTAATTTGAATCAAATTAAGCAGAGGTGGCCCAGAAATGCCTGATTCGAATCAAGTGTAAATTCTGATTCGAATTGAAGTGTTTGAAAAACTTTGGTTTGCCTCTTTTCAATTTGATTTGAGTCAAGATACGTGCTTGATTTGAATCAAACACATAAAATCTCAATTTTTAATAATTTTCAATAATACGTTGAGATTTTTCTTTCCACCTAACTTGAATCAATAACAAATATGGTTCTTATTCCACTGACTACTGCAATTGACTAAAAGCATCATGATTAAGCTCAAATATAACAATTAATGTATGCATGCTAAAACAAATCGACTCAACTTGATTCAAAGATGTGCAATCATGAAGGAGACTCAATAAACAATAATAAACGAAAGCAAAAAGACAAACAACAAAATAACTATATTGGGGGTGCTCCACTTGAATGTGTTAGAGACATGTAACTACAGTAAACTTAACTCTCCTAATGCAATTCTGAAGGATAAATTAACATATGGCTTAGAATGCCCATTTTAAATCCGTTGAAAGGTATGTAGAAACCTGTTAAAGAAAATAAGCATTCATAGAGATGGACAATAAAACTGTCATACTAGCTACAAATCCTCTTATCCTCTTAGGGAGGAAGCATTCCCTAATTTGAAGAATGACTCACTTCAATAAAAGCATGGTTTAGGATTCCTTCACCATTAAGAAAGAAATAGTGTACAATGTCTATTGATCCGCTCACACTAAAGAGTTATCTCTCATCGCTCTCCGAAATTTGAATTGAAATTTTTCCATGTCAAAAAAAGTTGTCAAACACATTGAAGCGATGATCGTAAGAAAAGCACGCGATCAACACAAAGACAAATCTTGCACCCCACCAAAGTCATCCATAGAAAAAGAATTTATTAACGTACAAAATAGAAAGGACTAAAAACCCATAACTCACTAGAAACACTAATAAGTAAGCAAGTGTGAAAAGAAAAAAAGGTTCAGACTCAGACATTACCTTGAAAAGATGAACTCAAAGACCCAGATATGACATGTTCTATCAAAATAGGAGGTGCAAACATGAATCAATGGCTAATGGGAAGAGATTGGAAAAGATATAGGAGGTTGCAAGCGTCGGACTAGACCTTTCAAATGCTCACAAATGGAAAAAAGGAGAATATAGTAACCCAAAACTATTTATATATCCCCAAAGAAGATGAATCATGTGATTCTCGACATTGGGAAACATGAATTACACACCTAATGGTTGAGATTTCATTGCACAGTGTTCAAGAGCACTCAAATGCCCTAGTGCTAGGAGGAATTATTATCATTAGACGTAGGGACACGTGTTATGTGATACGTCCACAAGTGCACGAAAATATCGAAGTAATATAAAAGATTGTCAAATCCACAAAGACCAATGTCAACCTACTGTAATCTATCGTTGCTTTGTAAAGTTAAGGCTAATGAATGATTGATTAAGGGGAAACTAAGACTAAAATAAAGACTAAAATAATATTAAAGAAATATATAATACAAGAGAGGCTGAAATATGGATTCCGTATATCTCAGGACTTCGTAACTTGTTGGCTTATACTGACGTTGAAAAAGTGTTTAGTAGAAAATATCAATTTAAAGACAATATCTCACACTCTCGTGGTTTTGAATAAAGTCACGTTCCTTGACCATGAGATTTTGCTTTCGCTCGTTGTGTTTAAGGTTAATGCCTAGTTTCTACTATCCGGTTCGACCCCCACGCTCTTGCAGTGTCAACTCAAACCTTAGTTAATTTTCTATTCTTGTGGCAAAATCATGTTAAATAACCTCTCACTCCCGTGACAAGGCTATTTAAATTAAGTTTAAAAACAAAGACCAAAATAGAATTTTCAAATAAAGATTTAAGCCAACTTCGTTACCGAGTCCCGTCGGAGACGACGACGCTCACATACCGGACTCAAGACAGTTTAGCTAAACATGGAATTAAGTGTGAACAAACTAAACATAACGATTGCAATTAAGAACATCATGGTAATCAAATTAAACAAACGAAACAATAGAAATAAGAAATGCAATAAAGAGAAACCTGTAAAATAAACTGAAATAAACGAAACTGGAATTAACTTCTGAAATTATCTTCGCGTAAAATAACAGGAACTGAATTCATAATATGCCGGCATGCTTGAAAATCAGGTACATAATTGAAATAATAATAATAAAAACAACAACACCTAAAACTAATAGTGTGGTAGTTCCTCGATGTGAGAAACTACCACTTTTACATGGTAAACTTCTCTGCTTAAATTCTAATGAAAATAATCCTCTCGCCAAAATTCCCCCCTTTAACCGTAGAACTGCCCTGATTTTATATTCCTTTGTTCGTGACCTCAGTGTCCATGACGTGCATGGAGAAAAATCAGAAAATGGCTTCATGGAGAAATCTCTGGGGGACTGGGCTCCGTGAGTTACTGACATGGAGAAGGCCACGAGAATTGAATATGTGGCTCACATGATTGAGCTGTGGCGAGGGCCACAAGAATTGAATATGTGGCTCACATGATTGAGTTGTGGCGAGGGCCATGCCAGTTGGTCATATGTGGCGAGGGCCACATGCCAAAATATATATTTTTTACTTTATTCTTCTCATTTCTTACTAGTTTCTTGTTCTTTTGCGCATGGAATCTTGTTGTTAAAAAATACATGAAATAAAACAGAAATAACGACATAACATGACATAAATAAACGAAAACGGTAATAGAATCCATGCAAGTCGAGTCAAATATACAATGTAATTTCACGTTAACAATATGCCACACACGAATAACATTTCTAATCGATAGAGAGACATTTAATGCACTTCTTTCCAAAGACATTAACGTCCCATCAAGGCTCTTATGTTTTCTTCTACCATAGGCCAGACTGAAGAAAAACCCGACAAAGCCCTCACTCTACGATGTAGAGACACGTGTTGTGACACACCTGTGAAACATTGCTAATCGCGAGGAAGACATTTAATGCACTTTTTCCAAAGACATCAATGTTCCACCAAGGCTCTTATGTTTTCTTCCACCATAGGTCAGACTAAAGACAAACCCGACAAATTCTCTGCTCAACGACGTAGGAACAATGGCTTCATGGCAATTGTTTTGGGCTGTTTGCAAGGTACACGAAGAAGGCCCAATAACAAGTGTTGTAGAGAAAGACACACGAGACATGTGGACCCTTATCTTTACCAAGGACACACCATCATGTCCTCCATCACAACTCTCACCATTGGAATCTAATTAAACAACAATCCGCGCGAGGCACCAAATCACATGCATAAGGTTTTAACCGCCTACTATATAAGACCATAACGCACCATTTCAAGTACTCAATTTATTTTTCTCTCTTACTATTTTTTACTCTGTAACTGACTTAGAGGTTGAAGTGTTAATCTTATATATCCGTCCTCTCACGCTCATTTGAAAACTTGTTCTACCACGTCAAAACTTCATTTCACTATTTAATTAAGCTTTAAAAAGTGTATGTTCTCAAGAGTTTAGTGCAAAACTCTCGCATACTAAATGCTGATAAGTAAAAAAAAAATTATACATTCAGACTTGCATCTAAAATATTATTGTAATTTTTAGCACCTGAGTTGTATTTCTAGGTAATACTTATAAACATGGAGTCAACAAGTACTTAACCAATTTGAAATATTATTCTTATTTATAAATAAGGTGACCGAACTAAAATCATATATATCATTTATAAGTCTTTTTTCAATTAAAAATAATAATATTTCAAAATTAAAAAAAAATTAAAAAAATATACCATGTCTACAAAACAGAGTGTAACTTTACATGAAAGGCCTAACTGAGAACATTGCAAGAATCATCTTATTCTGCTTCACAACCTCAAAATAGCTTTCAATAAATACACAATATGAATAAACCAAACTCAAAAAACAGAAACAATTATTTGGAACCATTCACAAACGCCCTTGTAACTAGCTGCACAGTTAAATGTGGACACCTATGCACAAAAGCTTCAAACTTAGGAGAAGAAACCATAAACTCAATATTCTTAACTAAGAAATTAAAAGCTGTCTCCTTCAAATTTTGGTTTGAACAAGTATCAGCAATCTCTAGTGTCTCAAATGCATTAGAACTGCTTATTGAGTTAAGCAAGAATCTTTCACAGTATTTCAACAAGTGTGGAATAATATACTTATCAGCTGCTTGTGACAAAGCATACACATGTTTCTCCAATTTTTCCAATGCCAATGTTCCACTGTAGAGAAACTCTAACAGTGATTCTAGCTCTTCATAGTTCAAATCAGGTATAGTTATTGTGTTACAAGTTGGTGCAGCTTTACATTCGTCACACTCTAGCATGTTCTCGAAAATTTCTGATCTTGCAGCCTACAATGTAATAACCAAAAACTAAAAGAATCACGTAGACGAAGTGATTATAACCATTATAAACTCATATATACAACTGTGATATCCAGGGTTCGAATTCTGATATTAGCGTTCAACCTAACAATATCGGCTTTTACCTAGTGTTAACATTCATAAGTTATGGGAAATACTATTTAGTAGGAAAGCCATAAAAACTCACCAAAACGGATTTATGTGCCGGAATAGGTGGACCATGATTGCCTGGACTAATCAATATATCTGTATGAATCTGTTCTTTGAATGCAGCAAGGAAGCCTCTGAGAAAACCCAAATCTTGTTTTTGTTGATTAAACTGTTCTATTTGCTCTGAACATAATCTTATGCAATCATCAAGTGTCTGCAGAGAAAAAAAAATCTTGTTGATATATATCACCTTTTTTTATTTTATATATACTTGTTTATACACAATTTTTCAAATCAACCATATGATTTATGAAAAGAATTAAATAGCTTGCCTTACTCGAATTTCGCCGCGAAACCGGAGAATCGGTTGGATTAGTGATTGCTTTTGTTTTATCACTTTCAAGACCGTTCATCATGTTGATTATGCTCCTAACTCCTTCATAACATGTTCCACATATTGTATTCCTTGGAGGCCTTAATATTAATGGCATAGTTGTGCACACACAACAATCCATTTTTTGTTCTTAGAATTTCCCTCCTCTTTGTTAAATTACACAACAAAAAAAAGAGGGAGATGAAAGAGATAACATACATATGATTCTTCTGAACTTTATATATATAAATATATCTGTCATCTACCTTTTATTATTTATATAATATTAATGTTCTTTGGACCTTATATGAAATTATTCAAGTCTTAAGTTTAATTAATTTAATAAATGTTCATCATTGTTATGACATTATCCTTCATAATTGAAAGATAATAGTAGGCTGGGTGTGTACACCACATAACAATATGTAGATGTCCAATCTAATCAAAAAATTTTTTTGTTGAATATATTTATTTAAGGAAAAATAATAAACGAAAGTGAAATTGAAAATGAGATTGGTAAATTAGGAAGTGGTTTGGTAGGCTATCTTTTTAGAGTAGTTATTAAAAAAACAGTCAACAAAAAGAATCAAGCAGTTAGGAAGAAGAAGACTTTCCAACCATACAATATCAAAAATGAAAAAGCAAATTCCTCATAGTTGTAAGTTGTTGGGATAGACAATCAGTTAATTTGGATCGAAATCGAATCAAAAATTTAAATTTAATACAAATTTTTATTTTATTATTAAGATTTAATTTCGATCGATAAAATTTTGGTTTTTGATAGATTCGATTTAATCGGTTTGACGGATAAATCGAGTGAATTAAGTCAATTTAATATCTATTGAAATAAATTTTTAAAAATGACTCATCAATTATAAAATTCATAAATATTCATCTTTAATTTTTTTTATTTAAAAAAACTATCAAAATTTTAGATTAATTCAAAAAATAACTATTTTTTTTTTATTATTGAAAAAACGATATTATCACGTTAGAACGTTTTAAATATCATTTGATATTAATTTATTCTTTATTATATTTTAAATAATAAATTAAATAATATTCAAATTTTATATTATATGTGTTGTATTTTTGTAAATATATAATGTCGCCATTAAATTATAAAAAGAATAACAACTTAATAATATTATAAATTTTATTTTTATACTATTTCGACTCTATATTAATAAAAAATATATAAAATAAATATTAATTAAGTAGAATCGAATTCAATTTTCAACAGACCCAAGATAATCATTCGAACACGATCAAATCAACTATATAAAATCTAAATTTATCAACCCCTAATAATTTGTAACCACTTTTGTAGTTATCAATATCATTCCCTTCCAGTAGTTCCTGGAAACCTGTAACCACTATTAATTAATTAATTTATGAAGAGTAGTTTAATGCTATAATAGTTGTAATCTTGTGTTTATGACCAGCCTGGATTGTTAATGGTTCAAGTTGCAATGGCATTTTTATGACATGATTAGCCGACCAATCATGATCACTTGTTATTTGCTAATGCTCCCTTTGAATATCCTTCAACCATCGACTCATATTATAAATAAAAATTATTTTGAAGTTTATTGAATATCTAATGAATTTAATTTATATATATATTAAATATATTAAATATTTAATGAATCTAAAAAATAATTTTTTCTTATAATATAAAATGAAAGGAATAAATATTTAAGTAAATAAATATTTTATTCTTTTTAAAATATAAGAGAAAAAAATGAATTTTTCTTGTTTTAAAATATAAGAGAAAAAAAAAATTAAATTTCATCTTTTTTTAAGATAAAATTAAATGTAAATTGCATTTAGTTTACATCCTCTCTCATTTTTTTATAACTAACAACTAATTAAAATTATTTTTACATCTTTTTATATGTTTTATTTTAAAGAAATCATAAATTAAATAATTATGTTTTTTGATTTTTTTTGTGAGTAAGTAAAAGGAAATAGTCTCACATTGAATAGGAATGTGGAGACTTAAGCATATATAAGTGAGAGAATTCATCCATCTATTACCTTAAGATTTTAGGTGGATAAGTGGTGTGTTTCTCACAAATATGCTTATTCTTACACTATGTATCAATGCTCCTAATATCTCCCCTCAATATGGTATATGTCAACGACGGTACAAATAGTGGAGCATTATAGACTCACACTTGCATTATTCTTTGGTCGGAGCCTTAAGATGTTATTTTATAAAAAGAGCATCAATGCCTATCTCGACTCACCATTCTAAAAACCCAATGGAAAGCTTGATGAATTTTCAAAAAGGTTACCAACCTCCAACTAGAACTTTAATTAAATAGCTAGAAACATGTGTAGGAGAGGTAAAACCTTTGTTACAAACACCCAAAACCTCCCAGTAAGGTTTCTAAGGCAAAACATGGTAATTGAAGCACATTTATGAATATACTGATTTTGCATAACATGGTTCTTAATAGCCACCATTTCACTATCACCATGGATGCGAAAAAACTTGTCTAATTCTTAATTAAAGGATAGGAAGTTTATCTATCATGAATCATCTCATATCAAATATGGGATATGGTCCACTCGGCTGAAAAAATTGACCCTTGGCATTTCTGGGTTTACTCACAAACCTGTTCAAAGCATTCAAAGTATCGTTGACTAAGATACCATTGTGCCCCATTCTACCATACATTCATGGTGCATGTATGGATATATTATGTCAAGAGACAAAGAAACACAAATAAGAACACACTACAATAGGTTCGTGCCTTAAGGCCTGCTTCTTATACGAATTTATTGTAGTGTGTTCTTATTTGTGTTTCTTTATCGGGGAGAGTAGTCAAAATGAGAACCAAATTAGAAAAGAGAAAATAAGTAAGAGGGGAAGACATGACTGAAAACACCCCAAAATCATCTATATTTATATTCAAGTCATCTATATTTCAACTTATTTTGTTTGATGGTTGTTTATATGTTTGAGTTGTTGTTTATTTGATGTTTTTAGTTAGGATTTCCCTTCTTTGATTTGCCATTTTTGTAGTTTAAATTTCATGATGAGTTTACACACTTTCTAGCAGTAGGATTAAGGTTATTAAAACTGGTATAACTGCTACTAATGTTGCTTAACATGGTTTTTAAATCAATGCTTTTAAACATGATGCATGATTTAGGTATTTGATTGAACAAACTTGCATGAAGTATAAACAAATTTTTGTCTAAAGATGGATTCAAAATTAATATCACGATAAATTCTTAAATACAAGTTTGCCTATGAATTTGTTAGTTTTTCAAAGTATACTTTCATTGAAACTATAAAATTGAATATCCATTCATTTTTTATCTGCAAAGCCAAAATGGTGAGATTGTGAGTTTTCCATTGTTTACTTAAATATGTGTGAAACCATCACTACTTGATTGAATATTATTTTCATTGATCGTATTGATTTACTTAATTTGTTTGAAAACCATGGAAAATGCCAACTCATTATTCCCCATTGGGCATGAGTTTTCACTTGACTTGTTTTTGTTGCTAATGTTTTCCTTCTTAACACAAGGTTTTCTAGGTAAAACACGACATGGTGACCTTTTTGTTGTACTTCGATACCATTTTCTATTTAACGATGACTTCACTAAACACAACTCAAACCTTACATTATTTTTCACTGATATCTATGTTAAGGTTTTACAACTCAATTTCCTTATTTCGACCATAAGAATAATGAGGAGTTGCGTGAGATGCCTTTCCTTATTTCGACCATAAGAATAATGAGGAGTTGTGTGATATGCCTAGAGGGCATCTGGAAGCTCTTCCTCAAAATTCCCTTTGACACTATATAGTCTTCGGCTCAGGCCTCATATAACGACTTTGTTTGCTTATTCGACCATTAGTCTAAGGTGTTCCACACAGGTGAAATATTATGTTACATGTAAGCCCTCTATCAACCATCTAAACCTTCTACTTATGAATTGACTCCCATTGTTAATTACCATTTTCCTAGGGATGCCAAATATGGTAATAACGTTCTCTTGAAAAAAAATGAAAAAATGGTATGCCCCGTAATATTTTCACCAATGCCACTTCGATGTAACTTGTGAAGCAATCAACAACATGTTTACAGTGATTTCTGGTAAACAACCGCTAGTCCTCCAAACTATCAAATAATCTTAATGACTGTTATTCAATCTCTCTGGTAACTCGCATGATCGACTAGATTGATCCTAGGATGTATTGGTCATTTGGATAACTCTCATTATAGAACTGGTATTCATGGTTGGTATTTAGAATGTTGTGTAGGTGTTTAACTTACTTCGATTACTCTATTAAAGATCTAATAACATGATCAAGTAAATGCGTGCGAAACTAAATTGCATGAATAAAGTTCAATTGTAAAGACATATAAAACTGCAGAAAAGACAAGTAAATAACTTCGAAGCATAAAAACATGTAACGTAAAAGATTCTCTGGAATGTAAAAGATTCGAAATATGAAGAAAGCGTTTAAATGCAAGAAAACAGTAAAATGACTTTAAATGAAAAAAGGTGTTCGAATGAGAAAGGCATGAAGATAAAGGCATGAAATATACAAAAGTTTCTGAAATGTAAAGTATTTGAAATGGAAAGAAAACATTTAAATGTAAGGCATCAGTAAAAAGACTTCGAATGAAAATGTTTTAATGCAAAGGCTTTTGAATGATATTGACATGAAGATAGAGGAAAATACTGGAAATGATAAAGAGTTTCATTAAATCATAAACACTTGGTGTTATCATACGTACATTGCTCGTGCATTCGTTTCCCTAGCCATGTGGTATTTTGAATGTTTACTGAGTTTTTTGTACAATAGATATGACACACGAAATCCTAATGCTAAGACTTCTATTTATACTACTTCGACCATAACTGTCTTGCTATAAGATTCTGCCACGTTCAGAACATGCAAAGCAATGCCTCTCTCTAGCTTCCACGCGTCTTCAAATGCTCCAGCGCATATATTTTAAATTTCGAACATCCCGCTTGCATTTGAATTTCAAATGTTTTGGCACTTCTTTGCTTCGAACGCATTTCTTGGACACAGCCTTGTTACCACTTCGAGACTTCTTTTGAAGATATCCTCATAACTGTCACTCGAAGCTCCAAGCTTTGATATGC